CAAGGCGTCGACTTTCCGCCCGAGATCAGCAATGCCCTGGCGGACCTGCTCGGCAGCCCCTTGTCCAAAACTGGCAGTCGAATTGCGAGGCAAAAGTTTGTCAACGTCCCGAAGGCTTGATCGAGTGGCCGGGTTGGGATCGAGAACAGATAGCAGCATGTTTTTCTGCGGCGAACTGAGGCTACACGCACGCACACTGGCATGGAATGAAAAACCGGGCGCGGCGATTTTGCACACGACGTCTTCGTCACTTAAGTTGACGAATTCTTGCAGCTGGAGGTTGGGCGAGAACAGCTTCAGGATAAACACGCCCAAGCACCACACGTCGTACGATGGCGAAGCCTTGAGTGGACGCAGCCCGTTGACGATGCACTTGGCCATTTCAGGAGGGCAGTACTCTGGAGTGCAATGCAGCGGCATGTCCGCGTTCAGGGCGACCGTGTTTGCAAAGTCGATGAGCTTGATCTCCCCGCGACTAAACATCATGACGTTTTCAAGCGTCAGGTTGCCGTGGATGTAGCGGAGCGTGTGGACATATTCGAGTGCTTTCACCACGTGAAACACGCAGTTGTTCTTGTCGGTCGCGTACAGGCGATTCTGGGCAAACTTTTCCTTCATCGTGCACGCGCCGCGCTGTAGCACCAATGCTTTGCACGACCCAACACCGAGGAAGTCGACGTCGCCCCCCGCCCGCCACTCGACAATGTGATGCACAGCTTGTCCGGCGGTGCGGCTGCGGTTCACCTGTCGGAAAAAGTTGATTTCGGTCGTCGACGTCGTGAGTTTCACAACGACTTGATCGCTTTTCCTGTCGTGGTTGAATCCGTCAAACACGCAGTCGGCGATGCGGTCGTCGTGTATTTCCAAGTCGAACGATCCAGTCACGAAATACTGCTTCTCGACGCCTGCTGTCGGGTCAGTCGAGAGGGACAACGCGATCGATACCTTTGCGCAAGCGTTCGACGAGTCTCGTCAAGGAAGGGTCGCGGTCCAGCCACGGGAGGAGGTTCGTTTCAGGGGTCGCGCCGCGCATCTGCCCGCCCACCCCACCAACTTTTTTCCGATCAGCCTGTGACATCACAATATTTCAATTGTGCAGCCCGTTGGACAACTTTACAATCGCACGACGACCGGCCTGGTTTCCATCGTCGCCTGTACCACTGCTACGAAGACGGTGCGTTGCCGGTAGGTGGATTTTCGGCATTCCACTTGGTCTGCGGTGATCTGGGGCATCGGTGATGGTTCATCGTGTACCGAAGGACCACCCAGTGATCGACATCTCGGATGGACAGATGATGACGGTGAAGACGTTGAACCATGCAAAACCACTCGGCGTCCTCGGTAGAGTGTTTTCGCTTGGGACGAGATGGCAATGCAAACGTCTTTCCTGGACGAGACTTTTGCTCGTGTCTAGCCCATAGATATGCACAATCTTTGTTTCATCTAGCTCTTGAACATGTCCAATTGAAACAGCGACGCAACATCCAAGCGCTTCTCCTGGACGGCGCTGTCGGATGCCCCTTTGATTCCTTGAAACGCTTGCTGGATCCACGACGTTTTCTCCAGTTGAATGGCCACCACACGTTCCTCAATGGTGTGTTGAACAATAAACTTGAACACGTGGACGGGAGACGTTTGCCCCAACCGAAACACTCGGTCAATCGCTTGGTTTTCAATCGCAGTGTTCCACCACGGGTCTACTCGCTCCATCAAGAACAGAATGTAGAGCCTCATCGTCGTACCCAGCAGGAACACTTGGCATGCCTCCGTGATATTCAAACCCATGGATCCACTACGAAACGTGTTGAAAAAACAATTGAAACTGGCCAAGATACCATTTCAATGACATGAGGAGCACGGTTGCGTCGTCGTGTTCCTTGAACGCCGTCAAATTCTCGTCGCGTGTGGCTCGAGACATGGACCCATCGTACGTGATGCACGAAATACCATTGGCTTCAAGAACTTTCTTTGTGATCGCAAGCATCGACGTCCACTGGCTAAACACGACCGACTTGACGTGTTTCGGGGTCATTCGAAGCAATTTGATCAGCGCTTCCATCTTGGAACTCGGCACAACGTCGTCGAGTGTCGTTTGGTCAACAGGCGATGGTGGGGACACGTCTGCGACCAACTGCGATGCTTGAACGTCTTGTCGACACATCGGACAGCTCGGTTTTACTTGCAGCGCACATGAGATACATGGACGGCAAAAGAAGTGTCGGCACATGGTGATCACTCTGCGCATTGCACGTATGGAGTCATCGCGTGAATCGAAGGAAAACGATGAAAAATCAAGACTTACGCGTCTTTCAATGGGTCCATGCAAATAGCACATTCTTCACCGCTGTTGATAGCTTCTTGCAAGATTTCCACTAAACTCTGAACCGATTCGGAGGAGTAGTTCACCTCCGATTGCGTGTCTGGCCCCGCAAGCAATTTTCTCAAGTAGTGCGACGGACACAGACTCAAATGGTCGCACGTTTGGCGCAACCGCATCATCATTTCGAGCACGGTGGCATACTGTTTCTCAAACGAGTTGGTCTCGAGGAGTTGTTGGATGCGACGTTTTGCAGCAGTTTCAAGCTCGTCGTACTTGGCACGCTCGTCCGAGTTGAGGGTAATGGGATAGGAATAAACTGTGCAGGGTGGAAGGGCCACCATGGGCAGTCCGTTTGCTTGCCTCATGCCTACATAATGCGCATTCCATTTCGTGATGTGCGCACGTAAGGCATAAATTTACCTTTGGTGCGCCTTAGGGCGACATCTTTCATAAGAGCTTTGACAATTCGAATGCCATCGGGCTCTTCTCGTTTCAACGGCCTGATTGAATGAAAAATGAGGCACTGCCGTGTGAAATGCAACCGGTTCTACCTTCCAATGCTACGATTCCACCAGTACACATCGTCAAACGGTTTGTAGCGGAGAAATGAAACCAAAGCAGCCAAGTCATCGATCTTGTTGGTGATGGGCGTGCCACTCAATACCCATCGACTCGTCGCGTCGAGCTGAGACGCAGCTTTGAACATTTTTGTGTTCTTGCTCTTGATTAGGTGGCCTTCGTCAAGCACCACGCGCTCCCACTTCGTGCGGCGCAGCGGTCCTTCGTTTTCCGCCTCCAACGCCATGGTCTAGCATTGTAAACAATTGCAATGAAACAATCCTACAAGAGAAAACCGGGGTTGCGAAAAACCTCGTACCCCATATGTGGTCAATACAACGTCATATGCGTGCGCGTCGGCCGTGCTACCGAGACGTGTCTTGTCGTGGTGGAGAAATAGCTTCAGAGCACCAGGGTCGAAGTGGTCTTTGGCTTGATGCTGCCAATTCTGTACCACAGACAAGGGGCACACAATCAACGTGGCTTGCTTCGCCTTGGAGTGATGGCGAGAAGCCACAATCCAAGCCAACATTGTTAGCGTTTTACCAAGACCCATCTGCAGATTGCATGTGCATATTGTGATCAACAGGGCCAAACACGAAGAAAATACGTACGTCGTCCGCCAAGATTCCGCCGCGGCAGAGCTCCGGCGTGATGTATTGCTCGGTGTGGGTGGCTTCGTTGACGAAATACGGCTTGCCGTATCCTTCTTTGACGCATCGCCACAATTGGATCGACGATGTCACTTCAAAAGAAGGATTTTCGCGCTGATGAATCCATTGAAGAGCTTGTAGTTGATGGGGTAGAAGCGTCGATCGAAGGGATGAGGGAAGCTTCGACAAAGGCAACAAAGGCAGTTGGACCACGTCCACTTCCCCGGCAAAAAGTGAATCCTTCATTGACCCTTTCAATACCCCTGTGCGAGCATTTGAAACAAACCGCGCACCTTATCGTCGAGAGAAAAGCGACTTTTGCCCTTGAGCCCCGTGACATTTCCAGAAGAAGCACCGGCCTTGGGCGGTACCAAGCCGAAGTGCTTCAACGCATGCATGACTCGGTCCCGGTTGGCCTCTTGGCCATACACAGAGAGCAAAATCGGCATCGTGTATGTTCCAGGAGGAGCTATCCACAACAGTTAAATAAGCATCTTAATTCATAGGCACACGTACAAGGGCACACGCCTTCAATAGTCATGATGCCATTGTCCAAGAAAGGTGCAGACACGGCGGCCAAATCCCGGGGAAGATGGCCGACCATAACCCCAGACAAGTTGAACACCGCAATGGCATTACGGTCGTATTGGTTGGCCGGCTGACGCACCAAAGACACAGCTTCCTTTTTCCCCACACGACCAGTATAATGTTGAATGCCAACGATTTTATGCTTGAACGACCCGAGCAGCACCTGTTCCGGTGCCTGTGGGGTTTCGACTTCGATGACTTCCTCTGCATCATTTGTCGGGGCAGCGGACGCACCACCTAAGTTGATTGTTGCGAGGCTTCGAAGACCTCCAGATGCAAGGAGGTCGGACAAGTGGGCAGGGAGTGGCGGGTTCGTGACCTCGGCTCCGTCTGGCTGTTTCTTCTTTGCTGCAACTTTCTTGGTACGCTTCTTTGTATTTGGGGCGTCGTCATCTTGAGTCAAGTCAACCATTGCTGTCGACAGCGATGCGGTACGCAATGGCGGACTCGTGACGTTGACCACATCCGCCAGTCGTTTCTTCTCGTTTCGCTTCTTCAAAAGAGAAGCGTCATCATCTTCAGCCAAGTCTATCACCTCCGTTGACGCTTTTGCCTTTCGCTTCGAGGCAGGTGCCGTCGTGGGAGAGCCCAGTTGCCTTGGGATGCACGTCTTGAGTGTACCTGGCGTCGAAGATGCATCACCGCTGGGGTCTTTACGAGGACGATCTCTGCCTCGTTTCAATGGTGTTTCCGCGACGTCTACACCATGTCATCACCTCCAACGCTATCCACCGTCGCGTCCAACCGTACCCATCGTTTGGTTTGGGATCCGCGACATGGCGAAATTGGCGCACATACGTCATACGGATGAGTTTTCAGCTAACCGGATACACTTTTCAACTCTGTTTAGATTGTCGGGGTTTCGGGGTTCCCCAAGATATCGCCATTCACCACTCGGGCGGGGTTTCGGGGTTCCGGAGTAGAATATGTTCTCCACCTTGAGCGCGATAATCAGGATCTCCCGGGGTGCGTTCCGCTTGAGGTCGATATGCGTGACCAAATCAAGCCCAGGAGGCCGAGTCTCGATCGATCAAGGCTGTGTCTCGGCCTTTACCTTGCCGTACTTGCTATTCCCGTCGACGACATCGCGCAGATTTGTATATTTAAAACGTAGAAAACGTCTAAAACGGTTTTCTAAGAGTTAACTTGGAATTTGTATTCCAACGTTGAGGTACAATAACAAGGACCACCCGTTTTTAGTCGAATTTCGACCACGACCATTCTTTTCAGTTTTGAAACAAGTCGAAAGTACACCATGTTTGGTGGCGGGTTCGAATCGTTCTTTGGCCACGGCGGTGGCTACGAAGGTCACGGCGGCCCGTCCAAGCCTGTGGACAACTCGACTTTCTACGAGACTCTCGGTGTCCCCAAGAACGCCAGTGCCGCTGACATCAAGAAAGCGTACCGCAAGTTGGCGCTCAAGAACCACCCGGACAAGGGTGGTGACCCTGAACTGTTCAAGAACATCACTGTCGCGTACGAAGCGTTGTCGGACCCAGAAAAGCGTGAACTCTACGATCAATATGGTGAGGAAGGCCTGCAGCATGGTGGTGGTGGCGGTCACCATGGGGCCGATATGTTCTCCCAAATGTTCGGTGGTCGTGGGGGACGTCCTCGCGGCCCCCAACGTGGTGAAGACTTGACCCATCCCTTGAAAGTGTCGTTGGAAGACTTGTACAACGGCAAGACCGTAAAGCTTGCTGTGAACCGTGACGTTCTCTGTGGCGGATGCGCTGGTCGAGGTGGTCCCGAGGGTGCTGAAACCACGTGTGGGACTTGCAACGGACGCGGCATGCGCATTCAGCACCGCCAGATCGCGCCTGGAATGGTTCAACAGGTCCAGTCGGTGTGTCCCGACTGCCGTGGCCAAGGCAAGTCGATTCGCGAATCCGATCGATGCAAGGTGTGCAGAGGCAACAAGGTCACGAAGGAGCGCAAAGTGTTGGAAGTGCACATTGAAAAGGGTATGCGCAACGGCCAACGCATCACGTTCAGCGGCGAAGCAGACCAAAGCCCTGGCACCATTCCTGGCGACATCATCTTCGTCGTGCAGGAGAAGGAGCATGCTGTGTTCCAGCGCAAGGGAGGGAACCTCATTTTCGAGAAGAAGATCTCGCTCGTGGAAGCGTTGACTGGTTTCGAAACGATCGTCGAGCACTTGGACGGCCGCCACTTGCACGTAAAGTCTGTTCCGGGTGAAGTCATCAAACCGAACCAGTTCAAGGCTATCCAAGGTGAAGGCATGCCCCAGCACGGCAACCCTTTCGTGAAGGGCCAACTCGTGATCCTGTTCAAGGTCGAGTTCCCGACTCGGCTCAATGTCGACCAAACCCGCGTGCTCTTGAGTGTCTTCCAGCGACCCGCGCCCGTTGGCCGCTTCAGCGACTCTGAGGAAGCCTTCTTGACTGACTTTGACGCCGAAGCCGCTCAGGAACAAGCTCAGCGAGACGCGTACGACTCGGACGATGAGCGCGGCCAACCTCGCGGAGTCCAGTGCCAACAACAATAAGCATGTTCAATTTTTAATACTATCCATAGAGAGTTTGTCATGTGGTTGAACGCCTTTTCAGGTTGGTGTCAATAATCGACGAATATTGCAGCCAAACATTGGCAAATCTCGATGGATAGTTCAGCATGCACCTTACAACCGGCGGTCACGAATGCTACCAGAGAGGAGCGACGTCAAGCAAAGCACTCGCTAAGGCTGTGTAGCATTCAAACAACTTGGTGTACTATCCACTGCCCTCGTGCAACAATCGTCGGCAACAAGAATTTTTTAACTGTGTGTGGAGCGAATATCAAATTTGACAGGTTCGCGTATACGGCTGGAATGCACCGCAGTGGAGAAATTGCAATGGACTACACGAGCGATTCGAATGTATCGCAGGAAGATGCGTGGGCCGTGATCTCGGCATACTTCGAGGAGAAGGGTCTTGTTCGCCAGCAGCTGGATTCGTTCGACGAGTTCATCCAGAACACGATGCAGGAACTCATCGACGACTCGCGTGACATTCGCATCACGCCGGAAGCTCAGTACAATCCGGGCCAGAAGAGCAACCGGGTCACGGACACTATCTACCAAATCCAGTTCGGACAGATCTACTTGAGTAAGTGTACCATGACAGAGAGCGACGGGAGTACCTCTGTCATGTTTCCGCACGAAGCCCGTCTGCGAAACTTGACCTACTCGGCGCCATTGTATGTGGATGTGACGTGCCAAAAGTTCCAAGCTGGAACTGTTCCGATTGAGGAACAGGAGCCATATGAAGAAGAAACAACCGCAAAGGAGTTCATTGGAAGCATTCCCATTATGCTGCGGTCCAAGTACTGTGTGCTCACCGACAAATCCGACAAAGAATTGACTGAACTCAACGAGTGTGTATACGACCAAGGCGGGTACTTCGTCATCAACGGGAGCGAGAAAGTGCTGATTGCCCAAGAACGTATGAGTAACAACCACGTGTACTGCTTCAAGAAATCCAGCATCTCCAAGTACTCTTGGGTATGTGAAACCCGCAGTCACGTCGAGCGAGGCGCGCGCCCCACCTCGACCATGTACGTCCAAATGTATGCCAAGTCGGGGGGCAAGTCGGCGGTGTCCGGTCATCAGATTCGCGCGGTGATTCCGTACATTCGACAAGACATTCCCGTCGTCATCATCTTCCGAGCGCTGGGTTTCGTGGCTGATCGAGAAATCTTGGAGCACATTTGTTACGACTTCACGGACGTGGAGCTCATGGAGCGCTTCAAACCGTCGTTGGAGGAAGCGTTTGTCATCCAGGAGCAAGAAGTCGCACTGGATTTCATCGGACGTCGAGGGTCCGCCGTCAACGTGTCCAAGGCGGACCGTCTCAGGTACTTTGAGTTGAATTAGGCCACTCGCGTGATTTTATGTGATGTTTTGTGCCCGAGGTGTTTACCAGTATGCGAATTTTCACGACTGCTTTGATATTTTGGTATCGGCTGATCTCACCTTGACTCCCTTATTTCGACTGATCTTGTGCTGGACTTTGTGCATTGTGTGCAGCGCAAGATGGCCATGGAGCCTCTTTTGCAACGCCCGTGCAAGACGTGTTTTACAACATGGCGGGTTTTGCGGTGCTGAGATCGAACAGGAAATTGATCATCGCTACAACGTAGATATGCCCAAGACATTTTGCAAAAAGAAATGTTGCCACACGTGGGTGTGGAAGACCACAACGAGACCAAGAAGGCGTACTTTTTGGGATATGTCGTCCACAAGTTGCTCATGTGCTCGTTGGGGCGTTTGGGCGAAGATGACCGCGATCACTACGGGAACAAACGATTGGATTTGGCCGGTCCGTTGCTTGGCGGTCTCTTCCGCGTCCTCTTCAAAAAGCTCACCAAGGACGTCAAGGGGTACCTTCAAAAGTGCGTGGACGCCGGACGCGACTTCCAGCTCAGTTTGGCCATCAAGTCCAAAACCATTTCGAACGGGTTGCGCTACTCGTTGGCGACAGGCAATTGGGGCATGCAAAAGACTGCTTCCAAAGCCGGGGTGTCGCAAGTCCTGAATCGACTGACCTACGCTTCGTCCCTGTCCCATTTGCGTCGGTTGAACACGCCGTTGGGTCGAGAAGGCAAGCAAGCCAAGCCCCGTCAGCTCCACAACACCCATTGGGGCATGATCTGTCCGGCCGAAACCCCCGAAGGCCAGGCCGTTGGGCTTGTCAAGAACTTGGCACTGATGGCGTATATTTCTGTGGGGTCGCCCCAAGCTCCTATTTTGGAATTTCTTGAGGAATGGTCCACGGAAAACTTGGAAGAAATCACGGCGCAAATCATCCCGACCGCTACCAAGATATTTGTCAACGGGAACTGGGTCGGTGTCCATCGCGAACCCAATGAGCTCGTCAAGACGCTGCGGTCCCTTCGTCGGTACGATTGGACTGTATGGATCTGAATGGTGTTTTAGTTGGTTTTCCACCCGTCGAAGACGCTGAACTAAATATGTGTGCAGGTGCGTCGACATTGATGCGGAAGTGTCGGTGATTCGCGACTTGATGCAAAAGGAACTGCGCATTTACACGGACGCCGGACGTGTGTGTCGACCGCTCTTTATTGTCGAGAACAACCGTTTGCTGTTGCAAAAGCAGCACGTGGTCAAGCTACAAAACCACAAACACACGCACTTTCGTTGGCAAAACTTGCTCACGGAAGGGGTCGTCGAGCTCATCGATACGGAAGAAGAGGAAGTGTGCATGATTGCCATGGAACCCAAAGATTTGCGCAACGCGCGTTCGCTCTACACGCATTGTGAAATCCATCCATCGATGATATTGGGTAGGAGTACATATTGTTCGTTTGGGTGGATATTGACTTCCTTTTCTTACTTCCAGGTATTTGTGCGTCGATTATTCCGTTTCCCGATCACAACCAAAGTCCCCGTAACACGTACCAAAGTGCCATGGGAAAGCAAGCAATGGTTGGCATTTTCTCGGCACATGGACATGATGAAATGATGTTGCCATTAGGGTATTTACAGTTCAAACTTCAGAGCGCGCATGGACACCATGGCCAATATTTTAAACTACCCCCAGAAGCCTCTTGTGACGACGCGTGCGATGGAGTACCTGCATTTCCGAGAATTGCCCAGCGGGGTCAATGCGATTGTCGCGATTGCCACATACACAGGTTACAACCAGGAAGATTCGCTGATTATGAACCAAAGCGCCATCGATCGCGGTAGAGATGCCACTATTCTCAACACGAATATGCTCATCAAGATGTACAGGCCTCTTCCGATCAACCTTTTATCGATGCTACGTCGACCAAGAACGCAATAAATCCCCTCACGGCATTGGCGGCGGGTCTGGCTTCATGAACTCAGAGGAGTTTGAAAAACCGACGCGCGCCACGTGTATGCGTCTGAAGCACGGCTCGTACCACAAATTGGATGCGGATGGGCTTGTTGCCCCCGGTACCCGCGTGTCTGGCAGCGACATTATCATCGGAAAGACTTCTCCTTTGCCCAGCAGCGACGAGAATGGGCTGGAGGCACGCCACCAGAAGCGCGATGCGTCGACAACCCTCCGCACTCACGAAAACGGGATCATCGACTCGGTCATGCTCACGACCAACGCCGAGGGCTTCAAGTTTACCAAAGTGCGCTTCCGCAACATTCGCATCCCTCAAATTGGAGACAAGTTTGCGTCACGTCACGGGCAAAAGGGGACCATTGGAATGACATATCGGCAGGAAGACATGCCATTCACGATCGAAGGTATGCCATTGGTTTTTGTACAACTCTTTTCAATTCCGTCGTAGGCGTCACTCCCGATATCATTGTGAACCCCCACGCCATTCCGTCTCGTATGACGATTGGGCACTTGATCGAGTGTCTCCTGGGCAAAGTCAGTTCCCAAACGGGGGATGAAGGTGATGCGACTCCATTTACCGACGTGACCGTGCAGGCCATCTCCGACACGTTGCACAGCTTGGGGTACGCGTTGCTCGATCCGTTGTTTGCCAATAACCACCCTTTCGTGTGTAGATACCAGCGATTTGGCAACGAAGTGCTGTACAACGGGCACACGGGTCGTCGGTTGCAGGCGCAAATTTTCATCGGGCCGACCTTTTACCAGCGCCTCAAGCACATGGTGGACGACAAGATCCACTCGCGGTCGCGTGGGCCCGTGACCATGTTGACGCGGCAGCCGCTGGAAGGTCGTGCGCGCGAAGGTGGTCTCCGCATGGGGGAAATGGAACGCGATTGTTTGATATCGCATGGGTCGGCCAACTTTTTGATGGATCGGCTCTTTGCCAACTCGGACGCGTACCGAGTCCACGTCTGCGATCTCTGCGGCATCATCGCGATTGCAAACTTGCGGAAGATGACGTTTGAATGCCGCACATGCCGCAACAAGACGCAAATCTCGCAAGTGCATATTCCGTACAGTTGCAAGCTGCTCTTCCAAGAACTCATGGCGATGAGCATCGCCCCCCGCTTGTTCACGATGGGTAACCCCAACATCTCCGCCGTCAAAGCGTAAAACTCGCGCGTGTGCCTATCTTATCTCCCCCATGCGTTGTAATAATATAAGTACTGCGGCTTCACCACTCGTGCCCACAAGTTCACGAGTGCCACCATGTTGTCTCTGCCCCACTCATTTGTTGGTGTGGAGCTGCCATGATGGATTGCGCGAGTGACAGGAGCCCGAAGCACGGCGTGCTCGTCGCACGATGTGCCTCAAGCCAAGAGCGAGAGAGGTAAACTGGCTGAGCAGAAACTCCATTTCGACCAACTGACGTGGTCACTTACACCTTGGATGGTCGTGGTCACCTACTGCGCCGTCTTGACAAGGTTTTTCAAGAGCGAGATCACCGTCTTGACGAGGTTTTTCAAGAGCGAGATCATGTTTGGAGTGCCAGCAGCGATCAACTTTCCCATCGCGACGCCAGTTGTGTGGCCGGCCATGTCGCACAAGTCGAACGAACGCCACCCTTGCAACACTTGGATGAGAACGCCAACCACGACAAAGGTGCCGCCAACCCATGGCTCGTTGCGACCACCACTGCGTCACCACAGAAATGTCCACGGGGTGCGGCATCATCGACAAGTACAAGAGCAGCCCGACGCCACACGAGCCCACAACCCGCCACGCCTGCCGCACGAACATCGTGTTCCCACCCATGGAGCTATTTTGTGACACCGTTGGCATAGACTCGACGTCCAACCAACACACAACATTCGACGACCGAGTGGCAGCTCTCGGGGACCAGTTCCTCGTCTATCTTTGGCGATTCCATTACGATCTCTGGCCTACACGAGCCCGGTCGTTGGCACTGACAGCGTGGCTGCAGTCTAGCCAGGGACAGGGTCGCGACCCACATTTCTTCCCAGTACAACCGAGTAATCGCTTCATTGTGTTGGTTTGCTACACGTGGTCTAGATTAGTCTTGGGCTTGGCAAAGGACGCATTTGCGAGGCCCCTGCGACTGCTGTGGAAGTAGGCATCTTCCGCCGCGTATTCGTTGCGACATTCCATGAGGTCGGACAGATCTGTGCGCCGCACGGACCCAAATTGCCCCCGTGGCAAAGCCTCGAGGGCATCCAAGTCGGACTGCTGATCGGCGACACACACCTTCTTCGTCGTTTGATGTGGGAGTTGGGGTGCATGCACTGCAGTGGACGCATCGTGCGATACGACAGGCTCTTGGCCTCCGTATCGCCCGCGCGGCACGAGATTCTCCGTGGCATCGGGGTTGCCTCGGTAGATGGACTTGATGTGGGCGTTAAAGACAATCGAGATCACGTGCAGCATGGCATTGAGAAACGCAACCACGACTGCGATTTGATAGTATATGCACTTGACGTACGTCGACGCAGTACAGTCCAAAGCAGGTGCCAGAACGCACGCGACGACGAAGTAGAGACCGGCAAGAAACCCATCGGCACACCGTTCCAAGAGCGGTTCCATCTTGATTCGTGACAATACGACTTCAAACACGACGTGGACCACTCCGAACGCGATGCTGAACGCCGCCGCAATCGCCAGGAAAAAGTGTGATGTGGTCGCGGGGAAGTACTCCTTCGAATCGAAACCGAGGGGTTCGTTGGCCAGAGCCACGCCACGATACGAATTAAGGATGCACACGAGGATGATCGCACCACTGCCTCCCTGCAGGACGCGGAGAAGCATGCTCACTCGCGCGATCAGCGCGGCGCGGACTCGGCTCATCGGGCCAGTTTGTCAATTTCGGTGCATCAAACACAGAGCATCCGGATAATTTTTATCCGTATAACCTCAGCGGTGCTATACACATGGAAGTGCGTTGCGCACTAGGAGGTCCGCTCGTCCATGCTCGAGAGGATTCCTACGCGGTGGAAGGGAGGCCTGGCAATGCACCATGGACGCTCAGAGAAGCTCGTTGCCTCTGATCGACGTTCGATTGCTTCCGCCTCTGCACCTTGGCGCCACAAAACACGGGGAGACTGTTCGTGCTAGAAATTGTGACGTGGGAGATGCAATGTTGCGTGAAAGGGAGGCGCCTCCCAAAGCGTTGCCGAGGTATGTTCCTTATGCTGGAATACGTGTGAGCGCCCATTCGCACCAATGGTGGGAACATCAGTGTACGTCACTTTCAAAAGAAGGCACATATCATATCACAGCACAAACGCGCTTGTTAGCCCAGTTCGAGGCGCAGAGACAGGAGTGGATCGCGTGAACTGCTGCTGTTTGGACGGCAGCGCACCAGCTGACCTGCACGATAGTAGCATGCGATTCCGCACATCGTCCACTTCGACTTGGTTGCCTACCGAGACGAAATCATCCAGGTCAACTGCCTCCATCCCACGAGAATTGCATCGATACCGCGGCTCCAGAACGTCTCCATTTCTTGTCGAAAGGACGGACTCAATCCAGTTGGATCGGCACGCCATGATGGCGTCTCTGTCGAGTGGGGCGATGGAAAAGGCTTGGCCAACGCGGACATCGCGACGGGAGGTGGTGGTTGCACGAGTGGGGTGTCGACATGGTGTCTTGGCAGGCGTGGCATTGGTCGGACGACGGCTGGCGCGCGCTGCTTACGTCGGTTCGTCTCCATAAAGCATCGCATTTCTTCGTGGAGGCGTCTTTCTCGCTCGTCCAGTTGCGCCGCTTGCTTTTGTACGCGATGCCTCTCGTCTTGGACTTGACTCACCAGCGTTGCAGCATCTCGCATGGCGTCCTACCCAGAGCTGAGCTGGATCGAAAACATCATGGTTGTACCTTGGCCTGCGCCTCCATCGCCGCGCTCTGCTCGGACGCAGCCCTCACCTTTTGCGCCATCTCCTCGATCCGGCTCGCCGCGGCCTGCAGGCGTTCCTTCTCGCCCTCGAGCTGGAGCTGGTACGCCGCCAGAGCCTCCATTTCGTCTGAATGATTCCGCACCAAGGTTTCAAACGCCGCCGTCTCTTGCCGCACGCGATGGAGTTTTTCGTCGATGCGCTGCTTCTCCATGTGGAGCTTCTCCTGGGTAAGTCGCTGGTCTCGCAGCGCTTCTTCCTGCTGCGCAGCAAATGCCTACAGCTCATGTTCAGCCATTTCCCGAATTCATTGTGACTTCGCACCGCCCGAGCAAAGTGGAGTTGCCGCTCTTCTTCCACGAGTTGCTCCCGCCGCGTGTGCAGCCTCGCCTCGGCCACCCGAATATCTTGAATATAGGCGCCTACACAAATCCAGTGAGCCACAAGCACACAAGCAAAGCAACGTACTCAGGGTTTGCGTCACGACGCGCGTGTTCGAGTCCGTGCGTTCTTGGAGCAGTGTCGTCTGCGACTGAAAATGTAGCGCGAGTTCATCCAGCCGCGATTGTTCGGCCCGCAGGCGCTCTTTCTCTTCAAGGTGCTCGCCGCGAAGTGTGCGCATCGTCCCTTCCATGGCACTCAGGAGCGCTAGAATACTTGTGGAAGCAAACGATGGGCATGGAAGGCAGCCAACCCTGGAGACGATGGCATTCTTCCTGCGAGCGATGCATGAACGCTTTGCAGCTCCCTTCCATGTCAAGTAACACCCTCGCGCGGGTTTCAGTTTCCCCCATCGCCCGCATTTCCAGCTCGCTTTTTCCCCCTACGACGTTTTCTTGCAACACCTACCGCGTTGCTGAGCAACTGCACCCATTCATGACGGTATACCTTGAGTCCACTCACAGCAGCGCGGACTTGCGTCAACAACCGTTCGAGAGCATCCTTCTCGGCATGTCGTTGCTCTTCGACCAGCCATCGTTGCTGGTGCAACGCCTCTTGCTCTCGTTCATGCTGCATGCGCTGAAATCTCTCGACACTTTGCGAATGCAGTGACTGCTCTTTGACCAAGTCCCGCTGACACGCTGCCAGACTCGCTTGGGTCGTCGAGAGCGTCCCGCGAAAGGAGCTATTCTCAATCTGGAGCTCCTTTACCAGGGCTTGAAGGGGTCCTACTTCGATGGCTTGAACTCGCAGAGTCGCCAGTTCTTGCGACAGCGCCTGGCATCCACCCCAATGAATGCAATGAACCCATCAGGTCGAACGCACCTGTTTGTCGGCTATACTTGCATTCAATTGCTCCAGCCTCCTGGCAGACTCTGCTCCAACCCGCGCTAAATCGTCGCGCAGCGTCGCTTCCGTTTGCCGCAGCACTGCCACGTCGTTCGTGAGTGTCTTGGCGAGCTCGGATTCCGCGCTGAGGTTTGCAGTCACCTAAGCAACGGGGTCGGTCCATGAGACTAGTTTGATCCGGGATCCACGAATATACCGTGGCGTGGTCCGATTGCAGCATGGCGAGAGCAACGTTGGCAGCAGTTAACTGGGTCGTCAGTGATGCCACCATGTCTTGGCTTTGGGCCAACTGGTTGGTCATAAACGCAGGCACGATGGACGCATCGTCGTTCAAGAAGGATGCGCGGGAGGATGGACTGGTCCGTTTCGGAGACGAGTTGCTCGGTTTCTACGAGAGTTGCTCGTCACCAACGAGCCACGGCAAGCGCCACCACGTACAGCTTTTTCGTCCACAGCCGACGGAACCAGAATGGACGGACGAGGAGGTGACGCTGGTTTCTAGAACGATGTCGCTTCCAACACGGAGGAGGTTCGCGTAGGCGTACCTTGTCCGGGGAGTTTCGACTCGACGTGGCGTCGACCGACGGCTGATCGCTGTCCGCAGCCTGCGTTGCTGCTGGCTTGGAGGTTGGTGTGCTCGGTCGCTGTGGACTGGGCTCTTTGACTGGAGAAGGTTGCCGAAGAGGAGAGTTGCTGCGGTCTTGAATTTCCACTTGAAGCGTTGCTCGCACAGGACTGTCTGGTTTTGCAACGCTCAGAGCTGGAGATGCGAGTTGCTCTGCAACAAGAATCGGCTCAACTGGAATTGGTGGAGCAACGGGTGGCTCGATGGAGGACTTGGGTGGCGAAAGCGGCGGCGGTGCCGCAACTGGTTCAGGTGGTGGTGGCTCCACGACTCGAGGTGGCAGGTTCGCCAGTGCTTGCGTCTTTTTCACCCATGGAAAAGCAGGCAAGTCGTCGTCATCGGCAGGCTTCGACCCTTCCTTCTTCTCGGAGGATTTCGTATCTGCAGTCGTTGAGTTTCGATCCTTCTTCACCCAAGGGAACTCTGGTAAATCCGACTCGACTTTTGGGTCTGGTTTGGGTGGCTTTTCTGGCTTGACTTGGTCACGCTCTTCTATGACCTTCTTCTTCATCCATGGAAACTGTGGCGGGGTTTCGTCTAGGACTTCCGTCGGGAGAGTCGATTTGGCTTTCATCCATGGAAAGGTCGGGGTGTCGTCGCCTGCGGTGGCGGCAGAGGGTTGCGCTGCATCGGCGCCCCCACGTCGCCCTCTGCCGCTCCGTCCAGTGCCCCCTCCCGTAGTCGTTGCAAACGGATCGTCTACAGACGGACTATTTGTGGCAGGCTTGTCGAGTTGTGTTTGGCTAGGCGGTTCGTTGAACAAGTCATCGTCCACGCGATCCGCCGCTCCTCTGGCAAAGGGACTGGCCATTGCCGGTTGCTTGCTGTCGTCTGCGTTGGCTCTGCCGCCGCGGTGTGTTGCGGCGGTCTCATCGCGATGTCTTCCCAACGGGTTACTGAATGGATCACTGCTGGTCGACTTGACATCTTTTGCTGCGAACGGATCCACATCGTCATCGTTTGAGGTGCGCCGCCCCCGACCTTTTGGGCGGTCCCCGCGCCAACTGCCCCCTCCGGCGTCCTTGTTTTTGTCGGACGGCTCGTCGAAGAAGGACGCTGCAATGGCGCCCGTTTCCGTCGGTGGGGATGACGGAGCGGGCGACGGGGGCTTTTCCTCCTGGTAGAGTTGTTTGTCTGGGGAATCCATCTTGGACGACTGGAACTCCGACGCATCGAATCCCAACGCTTTCGCGAACTCGTCGTCAAGGTTCTTCATGGACGTTTTGGGTTTGGGAGGACGTGGAATGTCGTCGTCGTGGGTGAAGGTGGCCTTGGGAGGCTTGCCGGGCGACGTGGACTCGTCCAAGTCGTTTCCCTTGTCCTTCTGCCTCCACCATATGAATCGTCGCCACCGTCGATCGCCAGTCAGCGTACCTTTTTCTTCTTGGACTTGTCCTTGGCCTTTTTGGGCTTTTTTGGCGAGGATTTCGGCCGGGGGGTGTCGCTGAGCAGATCGTCCAGATCAAAGTCGTCCATGTTGTCGTCTCCCGACGTCGGCTTTGTCCCGATCGAGATGAGACCACCGGTTAAGTCGTCCTTCTTGGACGACTTGTCTGCCTTCTGGCCGAGCGGAATCAAGCTCCCCAGCGACGACGACATCCCTCACGGAGCGTCGCTTCAAGCACGTCCCGAGGCAGTTTCGTCGGCGAAGGACCCCGAAACCCCGACATCGTCAAGATGATTGTTGGACGAACGTCGCGAACACGGCGACACACAATGCCGTGGCGATGGAGTCACGCAGTCGGGATGCCTCGAGGAATACATCGTAGCCAAGGCATCACCGGCAAGGTGGCTGCCGAGCTCGTGCGGGATATCCTCGGGATGCTTCACTCACTGTGGCGTAAGTGTCCATATACATAGTACGTTGTGTTGTACTAAAGTACGTTGTACTGGTATGCCCAACTTACGGCGTAATAGTATTGGATGGGACGGCAATTTATCCGCGACGAAAGTTGTCGTCGAGACGAGCAATTTCTCGACAACGGCGGCCGAGTGCCATGAGCAACGACGCATCGTTTCTCCACGTGCCACACCCGACCAAGGCCGAGGCGAGAAAGAGAGACGAGCTCTCGCACCGAACGAACGAAGGCCAGAAAGCGAAGCGGTTGCTCAACGACATCAACCTAGCACGGAGTGACATACCGGCCTTCGGGATCATTGACTCGAGCATTGTGAAGGCCAAGGAACAGTCGTACGGGAGGCAGTGGTTTGAGGTGCTGCAAAAGTTGGAGGCGACGGAAGCCCGGCGTCGGACGAATCCAAACTGGTTTCGCAAAGGCACAAATGACACGCTAGACGTGGTGGTGCAGCAGCTGCACGATCGAACGCCAACTCTCGAGATTCCTCCCAACACGTCGGGGGATTCGTCGGTGCACGTCAACTCGGTCATCGTCGCGCTGTCATGTGAATCCCCGCCCGTGGGGAGTCCGCAATTTAACGCGTGGCCAGTGTTTGGCGGTGTGTGCTACAATGCTTTCCCTTCCCGCACGACGCAATGGGAGGCGCGCCCCATGACCTGTCATCCCCTGACCCGCGGAATCACCATGAATTGGATCACCAACATGCTCTACGCAATCGTGGACGTGCTCATCGCGTACTGCGAGGCACCACTGCCGCCACTCGCCCCTGACATGTACCGCTCGATTCCAATTGCCACGGCCGTTCCTGCCAGCGACGCCCATTTGTTTCAGGACACACAGTGCGATATCCACGTCGTCCACTTGCCCCATTTGAAGACGTACCATTTGGCCAAGTACACGAAACTCGTGCTAAACGTGGCAGCGGCGGCGGCATACGAAAACAGCATCACGTTGCGGCGGCACGGCCATGGCCGCGAGCAGGACCGAGGCACCTCTGAGGCATTTCGCGCGACCAACAGTCGAGATACCATCCTGCTGATGCATCGACAGTCGCGGTATGGAAAGGAAGTGGGGTACTTTGACACCGAGTGGATGCTGTCCCGGCAATTCGTCGACATGACGATGCATGCCAACCCGTCGATCCAAGAGCGGTACTGCTCGGTGGCGTGTTCAATGACGAGGGATGCGAAGGAGTCCCGCGTGCAGCGTGAGCAGTTCACAAACGAGTGGGCGACCTGGAGCGTGTACCAGAAGCGTCGCGGCCCGGATGGAGAAGAAGTCGCCGAACTCATTGAAATGGCAGTGTCGATGGGCGTGCAAGACGCCGACACGAACGAGTTTGTCCCGTACGACGAGAAACTACCAAATGAGGCGCTGTCCCCAAATGAGCGGTTCAATGTCCTCGTGGACAAGCTCAAAGAGTACTACAAAGCGGCATTTGCCCGCGACACGAACGAGCTGCTCGAGCACTTGCGAGAGCTTCCACCAAGCGAGGGCTCTGTTTCATCTCGAACGGACGAACCCCCAGGTCAAATGGACCCTCTTCACACTGTTGTTCGCGAAGCCAACCCACGGGTGCCTCAAGCAGCGCTTCCAGACACTACTTTGCCGCCACCGAGAGTACACCAACGACGGAAACGATCTCGTCGCGACGATGTGTTCGAAGCGGCCAAGGTGCTGTGCACGAGGTACGCCAGCGACTTCAAACCGGACGAATTGGCTCGCGTGGCGAATGTGTTTTCCAACCACGCCCTGGATGCCACTATCTTTTTGGGTCTGGGCGATACTCCCGTGCAGAAAGCGTGGGTCGCCGACATCGTCAAGACCTTTCATCATGACTGATGCGGTGCGAATGACGACGGAGTCAGAGCACGCGGTATCGCTCCGAGCAAGGCTGTCGCGTGTGGAGAAGATGCCAGTCAGTGGAAAGAGAATCGCGCGTTGGTTCCTATT